GTATGCTATATGCAATATATTCGCAATAATGCACATATGCAATAATTCCACTCCTAGGTACCTATCCAACAAAAATGCAAGCACATGTTCATCAAAAAAACCAGGTAAGATTAATAATTATGGTCTCAGAATTTCGATATGCTTAGAGTTCAACATTAACCTTTGTGTATGGTTTTTAGGAATTGTTCACTCTAGATACTCAATAAATATTTACAGATTTGATGCAATTCAAATGCAACACAATGACTTCTGACTATGTCAGTGGTCCTAACTTCTCCTCCAGGTTCTAAGTCACAAGGCATTGAAATACAGTTAGCTCCATTAAAAAATCTGTCAGTAAAAGAATTTAGACTGGAAACAAAAATTGCAGAGCTGGTTGAATGAAAATCAATTCAAGGCTAATTTAAGAAGCTTCTAGGAAAATGCTGAGTTTACAAACCGAAATAGAAAATGACCACTGTCACAATTCAGCTTAAAAAAAATGATTGATTCTCTTCTCTCCATCATTTCTGTGGCTACTGAAGCTTTGTGAGCCTACGATAACAGCGGTGACTGGACACTGAGTTCTCAGTGCTAACAAGGTCAAGGGCACGTGTTCAATACACTGATTAGCATCAGGTCACTAAACTTATTTCTTCAAGGTAATGAGTAGCAGCTCTGAATAGGACCATTTAAGATATGCATAAATCACACACACAGGAAAGACAAAATGAAAGAATGTGAAAAGAATAGTAAAGATTCAATGTCACAATTAAGAACAAGAATGGAGAAGGCAAAGCTACAAACAGAAGGTGAATCATCCTTTTTATTACAAAAAGCAATGTGATGTGACGGCTGGAATTATTTGGAGAACAGGAGGACATGTTCATTGCATTGGTGCTCATTGTTTCTAATCTGACTACCACGTTACATTAGTGTTCACTTATTGATAAAAGAGTTTTTGTTCATTATTTTATTCCTCCCTCACTTTGCATGGCATCTGACAGTTTAGATTAGTTGAAGATAATGGTTCTGATATTCGAAACCTCAGGCATTGTTAAAAAGCCTTCTGTTTCGTATTTCTTGGGTGTAGGCTAACACTACTCGCATCTCTGAAACTCCATTTATCATTTCCTTATTCCTATTTCAGTTGTCATATATAATTGCTGCCCAGCTGGATCACATTTTTTTAGAAGAGCTTTCTATTTATTTTTCCTGATTTTGCTCAGAAATTAAAGCATTAATCTTTCCTCAGAGTTTCACCCTGAGATGTGAATACACTTTATGACTGGTCTTCGGTAGAGCTCATAAAACAAGCAATGGAGAAAGTACATTGGACCCTCTCGCGTTATCTCACTGCAGTAGCCACTTCTGAGAAATTACCAAAAATGTTACTCTCAAAAAAATGTAATGCTAATAGATATTATCAACATAGACCTTGTCAGTGAGATAGAGAATGTAATTTAAATCCGAATTAATATATATTCAAATATCTACAACATTGTATTTGTGGGTAAAAGTGGTAAAGATAGTATTTCAAATTAACATATCTCTGTATTATGGAAATTTCTGACATTTCATGTTTGTTGTATTTTAAAATAATTTTATTTGCTATTTGAAATATTCAACAACAGTTTTCTGCTAAATTTATATACGAAAAAGAATATGCATTTTTGATAAAAGCTACTAAACGCTGGAATAGTAACATAATCTATCTTAGACTAACTTAGTCTTTCAGTTTTGTCCTACATTATAAAAGTTGTACTTCCATGTAATTTATTCATTTTTAAAATAAATCTTATTGTGTATATTTGGGGTTTACAACATGATGTTATGGGATACATATAGATAGCAAAATGGTTGCTATAGTGAAGCAAATTAATATATCTAACATCTCACAGTTACTTTTTTTATGACAAGAGTGGTTAAAATCTACTGATTTAACAAAAATCCCAAATACCATACAATTTTATTAACTATAATCCTCACGTTGTACATTAGATCCCCAAACTGGTTCAAACATGATCATTATTATTATCATTAGTCTCTAGATTTAAAACATTTTTATTAGAAGAGTAAAGTCACGCTAAAAACTATACACTGACTTTTCACAATTACATTTACTTCATTCATTCGTCCTAATATCCAAATACAAATGACAGTTGTTATGCACACTTGAAAACACGAATTAGCTATAATTGTTTTTAAGATGGATGAAGGAATTTCGAATTAAACTCTTAAACTTGTGAATAAGGGAAATTAAATTACCCTGTAAAACTTTGACCAGAAAATCAATTATATTGGATTAAAGTAGAGATTCCCAGTAACCCATGGAGTCACCAGCTCTGAGAGCAGAACAAGACTCAAGTCTAACAAGACTCAAGTCTGAAGGTATCAATATGTGAGAAAACAGTTTCCAAGAGAAAGGTCTTTCTACATATGGCACGTGCTAGAACAAAATCAATAAACAAAGAAGCCTGATTTCCTGGTAAGAGTGTGATCATGGGGCAGGTGGGATTTCATTGAAGGAGGGGAAGGTGGTGAGATTTTCTCTGCACTGTGAAAAAGGACCAGAGGCTTTCTGCAGCCTGGCAAGAATATGGCTTGTATATATAACCTGGGTTTGGGAGCTAGGAAACATCTTTAATTATTGCTCTATATTAGGACAAACAAAGAAAACAAGAGAAGCTAACTTCAGGTGACATTAAGAACTGGGAACTGAGGTAAGGAACCCAGAAACCTGCAAAGAAATATCTTGTATGCAAGCATATTATCATGGGTAAGTGGTAAAACACTAGCAGCAACAACTGATTCATTAGCAAGTTGTGTGTATCTATACGAAAAGTACGTCCCTACTTATATTTGAACATTTCTACTTTAGCTTGCACAGTATTATCTCTCATATGAACTACTGCAATTGCCTCCTTCCACTCCCTCACAGCAGTCAGAGGGATCTTGGAAAATGTAAATTACATTATGCCACTCCTCTGATCTCTTAAAGTCCAAATTCCTCACCATGCTCGTACAAGATCCATTATAACTCGACCTTGTTTCCCATCATGCTTTCCCTAACACTGATTCCCTCCAGCCACATTTTCTCCCTGTTCCTGGAACAGCTAAAGCTCATTCCCACCACTTTGAGTGAGATCCCTCCATCTGGAATTCTCTTCCTTCACTAGCCAAATGACCACACTACTTGAAATAGAAGTCCCCAACTCACATGAATGCCTGACTTCTTACTCTGCTTTTTACTTTATAGCATTTGTCATTATCTGGAAATTTATATATGCATATAGGTGTGTGTATGCATGTACATGTGTGCATACATGTGTGTATACATGCATATGTTTAAATATGTATAGAGCTATCTTTTTGTTTTATTGTTTTATTATTGGCTGTCTCTTGTCTCGTCCACTGAAATACACTCTCAGGAAGACAGAGAACTTTTTGGTCTTAGTAAGTGCTTCATTAAATTAGCTCTAATTACTACTGATTTTTTACTAGTTTTTCACCCGCTGTGCTCTAATTCAGTGTAACCTTTTTAATTATAATTTGTCTTTCACTGAGTCTTCCTGCAGGGAAAAATATCTTCATTTACCAGTTAAAAAAATCTGATTTGTTGGGTAGTAATGCTGCAAATTGATAAATTAATATTTTGTCTTGTAAGCATTGTTCTATTAACTTGATTAAGGCCCTTTCCTAAGAAAGCAGTCCACTCTGTAGTACAGGTAAAGATAAAAACAATCCCTTTATGCGGCTTTTTGACAGTCCATGATTTTCTCTACCCAAGACTGCAAGTCTTTATTTTTTTATGAGTCTTTGTCTTACTGTCACCATATTAAATCACGTCAATTTACTCACCTTTACCTGTGAGCAGGAAGGAGGAAATTGCATAAACAAATTTTTATTAACAGTAGATGTAACACTTGTTTCAGAGATCTTTCTTTTTGCCTTTTCTTTTTAATTTTCCTTGACTTTGACTTAAACATAATCAAGGGCTCTGTTTTTAAAACTTCCAAGTAACATGGTCATCCCTAAATCTGAACACATATGATGATGTCAAAGGCCTAAACAATTGCCTCAGTAAAGATGAAATCTCTTAGATCCTCATTAAAATTACATCACATGATTGATGCCAAAAGATTCAAATCTGTTTTAAAGCAGTTTTCTGATGTTATACTAGTACTTCATTACAACTACTTGAAATCAAATTAAAGCCAGGATTCCTATCAGACACAATATATAGTGACTCCCTCTCTTACGAAGTTGAAATTCAGACCAAGAATGAAAGGTCATCTACAGGCAAACTGCAGCATATTTCACTGAAAAATTCCAGGACTATTTCAGCCTCTCAATTTCCAACAATAGTAAGGCTATTCCCAAGCTACTGACAGATTTTAAATTGCCATACCTTTTGTTGTGACCACCTCTCATTTTTTGTAATTCAAGAATAGCTCCGCCAATTTCCTCACTGAGCTTCTAGCATGTTATTAAAAGAAAAGTCATATATTTCTTCTCATATATTCTTCATTATTTTCATACCCTTAAATAAGTCAGCCAAGTGGCCACGGATCATGATTAGATTGTCTATTATGCTGCCTGCCTCATAGAAGCTGTTCATTATTTATTGAGTGAAAGAAAGAATAAATGATGGAAATAATAAGTACATAAATTTATTAGAAATCCCCAATACATCTTCCTCAAATATGTCACAAATCACCATCATCCTTTGCAGCGAGAGACTGCTAGTAAAATGAGATTGTTAAACAATAGAAGGTATGATGGAGATCTGATGAATTTTGTTCAAAAATATAACTCTTGACAATGCCCGAAATATACTTTCTAATAATTTATTTATTCTGTTTTATGTGTTATGCCTTTATTTACATTAAAATACATGAGAGTGACCAAGAAAGAGCTAATTCTCTGAACTTCAGGGTCCATAAATTCTGTAAATTAATTAGCAAAGATGCAAAGTAAAACAAACACATCTAGCAGGATTCCACTATCAAGTTCATAAATGCCAAGTGAAAGAAACAACATGCAGATACAAATATGAAGTTGGTGACCAGAAGATATCAGAAAAATGGGCAAAATAAAAGAATGCATCAGAGAAACTGATGAAACCAGGCAAGCTATAGCTTCTACACACTGCGCTCTTTTTATTTTTTCCTGCCCTTGGCCTGTTTTTGATGTGGTGGTAGTGGGGGGCAGTCCATTGATTGGCATCAGCTGGAATTAGAAGGCGGGGTCCTCAACAATTCTGAGAACAGAGATAAACACTTCCAATATCATACTAATTCACCAATGTAATAAATAAACTGGAACAAATCATGTAATCTGTAATATTAAGAATGCAAGTATGTAAGTTTAGGAATTAGACAAATTTGAATCTCATTTACTAGGCGGATTTCTGAAGGTAAGTCAACCCCCTAAACTTCAGGTATCCCACCTGTAAAACAGAGATAATACCCATTTCACAAGTTGGTTATGAGGAGCGACTGAAACACCTGGCACAGTTTGGAACATAGGTTCTCAATAAATGGTGGTTTTTTACTGCTGTTTGTTGTTATTATCATTATTTCTATGGTTAGTATTATTTTATTTCAGCCCATCTCTGCACCGACATCATATAATCAAATGACCAATCGCTTAAAAGGAGAACTTACCCACAAAGAGTTGACTGTTGAGCTGTAAAAGGACGTGCCCATCTGCTGGAGCAGGTTGTGTCTTTGGTGTGAGCTGATCCACCTGAATGGATGCTTCTTTCATGTTCCTTTCCACTCTGACATGGTGCCACTGATTGTCATTAAAGTGGGTGGGTGACTGCACTGAGATTTCAAAAGGCCCATTTCCCACATCAAATGAAAAAGTCACTATTGTCGGAGCTGGAAATATTAGACATAAATATTGTTCACATGAGTTCACATGGTAGAGTG